ACCACTCTTTGGGCCTGGCCATCCAGCCAGTTTTTAACCCAAAGGAGGGTGTGCCTATCCAGGCCAGCAGTTATCAGTTTCTCAACGAGAACGCTATGAGAACCTGTATCAAAGGCTTTACTGAGGTCAAGGAAAACTACATCCACAGCCCTTCCCTTGTCAACCAGGCGGGTCACCCTGTCATAGAAGGTGATCAGGTTTGATTGGCAAGACCTGCCTTTCATAAACCCATGTTGACTGGGCCTGATCACCCGGTTAACCTGTATGTGCTCATTAATAGCACTCAAGATAACCTGTTCCATGACTTTGCCCGTCACCGAGGTCAGACTGACAGGCCTGTAGTTCCCCGGATCCTCCTTCCGCCCTTTTTTGTAAATGGGGGTAACATCCGCCAGCCTCCAGTCCAGCGGAACTTCCCCAGTGAGCCAAGACTGCCCAAAGATAATGGACAGGGGTTTGGCAATGACATCCGCCAGCTCTCTCAGGACTCTCGGGTGGATACCATCAGGCCCCATAGACTTGTGGGCATCCAGCCGAAGGAGCAGATCCTTGACCCGTTCCTCTTGGATCACAGGAGCTTAGATTTGCTCTCCCTCCCTGCACTCAGACACCAAAGGCCAGCTCACCTGGGAACTACTAACCTTATTATTAAAGACTGAGGCAAATTTTAATTCTTTCTCCAGCCCTTCTTGGAAAAGGAGTCCTACAGTGCAATAATTTTATTTATTTATTTTTTAATAGGCACCTGTAATCTGGGTTCTAGCTACATCTTAAAAGCCAGCAGTACAGAACTGTACCAGGGTCTCCAGCTTACCACAACTCCTTCTTTTCTACATGCTCTGCCTTTATCCTCTATTATAGGCGGCCCTTTTCATAGTAGAGCATTTCTGGCATAAATCCCTGCATTGCATCCATTTATTTTTGTCTTCTGGCCACATGAATTGGTAAGAGTCCATTCTGAAAATGATCCAGTGTAGCCGAATTCCACTTTTGTCTGAAAGAAACATGAGTTGGAGAAGACGGGGATTTGGGTTTGGATTGCACATTGCAAGTAGTGCGGATTGAAGTGTGTACAGCTGCATGCCCGTGTGAGCAGCAGTAACATATCAGGGTGTACTTAGCACTGGGACTTAAAAATCTGCCTTCAAACTAGAATAGTATTCAGAGGTCTGAGAAGAAGGTTACTTACAGCAGGGGAAGGAAAACTGCTAAGTCAGCGATGCAAGGACCAAAAGAAAAACAGCCAAAGGCCTGACTTGCTGAGCATAAAGGCATGGTTTGCTGGATTGCTGTGCCAGGTCAGAAGACTAGGAATTTATCATTTCTACTTACTAAAGCAGTGATAAATTAGATTCTTCTCTGCATAGGCTTGGTCTTGCAGCCCTTTACTCAAAGGGGAAGAGTCTAACAAACAAGGAACTCAATTGGCATGTAAATGCAATGCTGCCTCTTGTTTATTACTAGTACTAATTGGCTGGCGGGGGATGAAGGTTGACTTGTTTAATGCTTTTCAGGACTTGTTCACTCTGACAATGAATGAGCGTTTCAGTCTTGATGGTGGTTATGTTGGTGAGTAATGCTCATTTTTTAAATTATTTCTGTACAAGTTTTCCAGACCGTGGGCGTACCAGTTACCTTAATAAACAGGCACACAAGTGGTGAAAAGATTCCAGATGAGTAAGGTAAAACACAGTTCGTTTTAAAGGCTGTGAAAGTTAGAACAGCGTGAATGAACCTTCTGAAAACAAATTATTGTAACCAGTGATATTTTGCAGGAATCTTCGAATGGTTTCTTGGTAGAAGAGATGGTATGTGGATGGGCTTTCTTACAAGAACAGTATTAGAGAACGCTACAAGGTATTCCTCCCCACTCCCTAAATATTCTGCTGCTTTAATCTGCTTTGCTTTCAGCTGGCATGAATACTGTAGATGTATGCTTAGTATCTAATGATACAGGTATCTTCCTAGAAGCCTTAACGTTAAATAGTTGTGGATTTGCTGGTACTCTGGTAAGAGAGGAGGCATCACACATGATCCCTTGAAACTCCTCAAATTGTTTTCTCAGATTTATGTCTTTTTTCTAATGAACCTATTGGTATCTGAATTCGTAACAGCATTCTGCGTCGAGACACATCCTACAGGTAGTAGTATGTTACAGGATGTAAACAGAAACAAAGCTCTCATGCAGTAAATGAATTAGGTGGAATATGACACAACATACCATTTTATTCCTGTTTTAAATGTAGAAAAAGTTCAAAGAGCACCTCTCAAAACCCATACTTTAAGTACAAAGTGAGTAGAGGAGCTTTGCTTAAATATGCTCCTTCATTGTGATACCATCTCCTCATATGTGCATGAAAGGGGAAGAAAGGTGTAACGATCCAAACTTCTCCTGGGTCTGTGAAACTCAGTTCTGCAGTACTTGAACCATTTATAGCGTTTAATAGCCCAACACTACTTTGTTATCTCCAGTTACCAGGATGCAAAAGACAAACTGACAAAAACAAGACTGCTGGCTCCAGCTTACTTTATACTGGGCGGAAAAAATTCTGGAGAAGGGTGTGTGATAACTCGTTCCAGGACAGCTACTCTGGATATCTGGGAGTGAGTATGCTTGACCTGACACCTCACTCGGCCTTCTAGAAGAGGACGGGTTCCACTAATTATTGTGTCATATGTTTCTTGTGACTTCTGTTGTGCAAGGACTCACTTCTTCATCATCATATAAAAATACCACTGCAAGCCTAAAAAAAAAAAATCCAGCTGTGTATAGTATATACTCTGTATGTACTTACTATATAGTTAGAGAAGCAAAATACAAATATATACCTCTTTTCCAGCCTTGATATCAAGAAAGGCACGTGGTACGTTTTGGAAACAAACTACGATCGCTGGAAGCCTCCGCTAGTCTTGGATAATCGTAGAACACCTGCAATGAAATGCCTGAACCAGACAATGCAAGAGGTAAACATCCTCTGAATACCTCGCCTTGCTGTTTTGAAACTGCTGAGTTAAAGTACTGATCTGGCACTGCCAGGAGCATTCAGGGTATTTGCAAGCACAGCTGTAGTGACAGAAGCGGCTAACAATTTTGTGACAATTTGTGCTTCTGGGTAATAGAGTACCAGGTGGCTTTTTAAAAAACATTCGTGTAGGCTTTCTCTTCAACTAGGTGGGTTTTTCTGCAAGCGTTTTCTGAAGGTGCATATGCAGGAGGATAAACCTGGAGATACTTTGAGAGAGATTTTCGTTGTTTCCTGAGCTGTTTTATCACGAGGGAAATGCAGACACGCACCGTCAGGCAGCAAACACTGACACTCAAGTGTCTCATGCTGTACTGAGATCTTGTCTGCTCAAGTTTTTGCAACCCATGTTCTTCTGATCTCAAGATGTACTCTTAAAGCTGTATCTTACTATCCAATTGAGCAGGAAAAAGGTTACAGTTCTCAGCATTTCCACTAACAGGTTAATGTCCATTAACATCAATGTGTTACTTTCTTTCAGAACATCTCCTTACCAGCAATTTACGATGTTCTCTCCACAAAGCCTGTCCTCAATAAGGTAATACTTCTGTTGCAGAAAGTTGAAAGTGGCGGGGTGGGAGGCAGACCACTGACTACTGTATATCTAAGGAGGAGGTCACAGTGGTACATTCACGGTTTTTTTTAGGTGAAAACATGCACATAAAACCCAAACAAATTCCACATTACTTTGTAAAAGCAAAATATAATTGCTGAAATAGCTGTTTTCCAAAGGCCCTGCAGCTTTAAAGCTCCAAGTAGCCTGAGCCGTTTCCTCGAAGCTGACTCTGGTTTGAGGCAAGATTTACAGACATCTTGGGGGCCCTTCTAACCTGAATTCGCCTGTGATACATGCCCTTATAAGTAGCATGAAACAAGTTAATATACCTCATGGTTTACACATAATATAGTCACATTGTTCTTACAAAATAAGATGTTTTACTCTGAACTTGAGGTTTTGGTGTTTTGAAAAAAAGAAAGACTAAAGAGAAGAGTTTTCAAATGAGAAATTTAGTTACTATATTCAGTAGAGGCAGCATTCTTGGCTGAGGACACAAGCTATTCATACTTGCATGTTGTTGACTGAATAAGATAAATGCTCGTTGTAGCTGAACTATTCAGCTAGTATCAGAGACAGATTTTCACTAATTGCTGTAATGAGGCTTTATCTTCTTTTTTCTTTTTCTTTTTCTTTATTATTTCTCCCTCCTGCCTATTAGCTGACTGTGTGCACAACACTGATGGAGGTGAATAAGGGTCATACAGAGACTTATCTGCGGGAATGCCCAGATCCTTGTAGTCCTTGGTAGTCCTGGACCTTTCCTATGTTGGCAGCTGCTTGTCTGAATTGGAAGTCCTCCAAGAAGAAATACTTCTGGAAAAAGATTCCTCAGCCTAACCCCTTTCTTCAGAAATCTAATGGCTATATAGAAATGTCAAAGAGCTTCTAACAGTGGAGGACCGTATCTCAAATTGGACTTTCTTGCTTTCTGATCAGCAGTTCTGCTGACGAGAAATGTATACTAATGTATGTCTGGTTTGATTTCAGCCATTTCTTCCAAATGAGTTCAGCAGTTAGCTCTAGATCTCTTCAGTCTTGACAGTGTTCGTGGTTTGGTTTGTTGTTGGTTTGTGGGTTGGCTGTTTTTCTGTTGTTTGGTTGTGGGTTTTTTAGATTAAAATACTCCTAAAGTACATGAGTCAAAATGGCACCTACCAAGCATGAAGAAGAATTGGGTATTAGAAGGCTATCCAGGACAGTACAGTTGTTATTCTTTCCTGAACACTTCAGATGAATTGCTGCTGTTCTGATCCAATATGAGGACATGTCTAAGATGCCCTGTTATAAAACAACCTACACAGTGTCATATCTAGTCACAGAGACAAGGTCTTAGGGAAATACCAAAAATGAGATCTGAGCCAAAAAATATCTTTTCACTGATTTATAGATCTTTTGCTGAAGCTCTTTCTTGGGCTGTTAACATTTTTTTTTAATACAGATTTTTCTGTTGTCTCAAAAAAAATAAATACTAATACAGTAAATAGTCTTTAGAACTACTTTCTTTGACCAAAGTACACGTGCACTGATTTCATACCTCAGTGGAAGTCACCATGCATGTTACATATCACATGGCAGAAAGGGCATTCACTTCCAAATAGACTGATTTTTGACAGTGTCTGAAAAATAGATTTCTTCCTTAAAGTAACAGTTAAAGCTATTACTGTAATGGGAAGTAGCCAACTATTAATAGTGTCTGGGGGGATTTTGGTTGGTTGGTTGATTTTTAGAAAGTGGGGGAGGGAAGCCAAGTCAGACTACACCATTGGCTGGAATTCAAATTAAGAAAGTAACGGTCCTTTAGAAATAGAAGCAAAGGCACCCTGATATTCTGGGAAGCAGATAACATAGAAGGCAGTATTTTATCTGGCACTGGCTGCATTGCTGGGACTAGTTACCAGTGCCAACTCTTGTGTTTTATAGCACGCAAAGAGAAGACACTGGAGAATAAGCGTAGGGGCTGGTATACGTGGTGGTTCACTTGTAATCTTTTCTTAACTACCCTAGGAAAGAGGTGCTATTCGTATTCCCATTGAGCCATGAATTTAAAGTTGCCACTGGTGCAAGGGAAGCGTTTGCCATCTCTTTGGTGTCTGCAGAGACAATATTGCATGAGGCATTCTCACGAAAACCTGCAAGTTCGGAACATCCAGTCACAACAGGATTCCTGATAGCCAGGACATGCAGAACAGTATTAGTGTAGTGCAGAAGTTCAGAACAGAGGATACTACAGTTTTCTGTTCCAAACAGTAAAGGCTGCTGTAAGATTTATTTATTAGGTTTTTTAGTAATTGCAAATGTAACACTAATTGGTCTACAGAAGGCGAAACAAGTTATTGCCCATAAATCTGGAATGTGAAGTCAACTTTCATCCAAGTATGACTGGCTAAGTTTTATTTAGTATTGCTTCCTTTTCTAAAAGAAATATTAGAAGGTAACCTTTAATCATCCCTTGTTTCAGTAACGAGGTTACCAGATTACAGTTCTCCCTTCATCAACACTGGAAGAAGCAGGGACAAAAGGAATGCTATTTACCAAATAACTTTAGCACCTGAGAAAGAAACATGGCTTCTGGTTGAAGAAAATGGTATTCTAAGCCTTACAGAAATGCCCGTAGTAGCAGAGTGTGGTGGGTTAGGCCATGGTTAGTGGGTGCTCCCTCTGTTCTTGTCTCGACCCTCAGTCCCTTTATTACATTTTTTTCTCCTCTCCGCTTCACTGGGGAAGGAGTGAGAGAGTGGCTGTGTGGAGTTTAGTTGCCAGATCAGCCTAAACCACGACACACAGCAAGAAGCAATTCAAAAGGGTGTAAAGCACTGATGAATTGAGAGCACACAGAAAACAGCATCCCGCTATTTAAACTGATGTTAAAAAAAAGGGCTAATCTAGTTGTACATCTAAATTTTTTTGAACAGCAGCATGCAAGCAGAAGCATGTTAGCAGGATTGTACTACCAGAGTCCATTTTTCATCTCAATCATGAATATTGAACCAATGTAAACCAAAATCAACATAGCAGCATGGTTTAGATTAGGGAAAATTGCCTGTATAGTATGGAATGCAGCTTCTGGGATGTTCGATTCATGTGAAACGGTCAAACCAAGTCAGATGTCACAGCCTGTTCCGTGAAGGGCTCATCGCACACTGCTGAGTTTGCACCTTAATCTGGTAGGGGGTTGTTCAGATTTATTTGGAATTAGTTGTGTAACAGCCATAATCAAATTACTTTGTCATTTAAAAATAAGTTTACTTGCTTAATTAGCCCTGTCCCACTTCAACATATGTGGAGCAAGGCAGTGTAGACTATTTACAGTCATTAACTAATGAGCTTTTGGTATGTCCCTTGTGCAAGACGGTCCACATTTCCACACTGGAAATTGCTTTGCAGTTGCAAAAGCACAGCTAAATCCCATGGATGTCTGTCCAGAGCCTGAATGCCTATGCCTGCTGTTGACTAAAATAAACAAAGCTAAAAACAAAATCCCCAACAACTATGTCTTCCTGTGTCTGCCTTAATATAGAAAAAGGGATGAACGTGATTAATTGCTTATTAACCTTCATGGGTCAACTCTGAAAGCACTTGTTCTGAAGGTTTTCTCAAGCCCAACAAAAAGTTTAATTTGCTCTTACTACAGATAGAGACATATATTTTTAATATCCATTTACTGCCTCCTCCCTACTTCTCCTGCCCTGGGCATTGTAATGGAAACTAAGACCATTTCACCGAAGAAACATCTACAACTGTGTGCAACTTTGGGATTTAATTTAGGTTTGGTTTTGTTTGTTTTTAAACAGAAAAACACAAAGAACAAAAACGGGTATGTTTCTTCATATTCATTTCCTGTACATATAGTTCAGGTGCCTCACAAACACTGAGAGAGTGGCCTGATTATTTTCTTCTAGCTTTGTTTTTTCCCCAGGTCAAGTAAGCAACCATATGTATTTTCTCTTTGAAGTTTACATAAGAGATTTACACAGCTTTCCTAGTTCTGTTGTGAAAAATCATCAAATAGTTGCAAAAAAAAAAAAAAGTAAGCAACAAGACAAACATACTCTCATTATTATTGCATTGTCTGGTTCTGTGAAGAACAGCCTCAATATTGTAGCTTCTAGCAAGTTTTTGCTGTTAATGGAAATACAAAGAGTTAATCCAGTTTATTCTGAACTTGGCTAAATAAGGCATTACAGGAAAGACAAAGCATTTGTTTGGGCGCTGGCATTTAGATGCAAAAAATGCCAGTTTGCCAAGAAAATTTTACATCTCTAAACTTAAGAAAGCCATGTGGTGAAGCCCTTTACCATTTTACAGGAAAGAAGAATGGCATCTCCCATGTCAAAAAGCAAAACACTGGCAGCTAGTGAGGACAGGAGAATCCAGGAAAGGAATTTGATTCTGTCAAAATCAGGCAGTAGTTCTGGGACACACATGCAAGTGAGTTTGCGTTAGAGTCCGTGACAAGTTAAGCCTTTGCTTAGAAGCAAATCTCCAGAGCCGTGCCCACAGATGTCCTGAGAAGTATCTGCAAGGAAGGCAGCGAGAATAAATAGAAGACTTGAGCTGGTGTGAGCAGGCATGGTGGACTGTGGACAGACAGGGAGCAGCGGAGATCCTTAGGCAGGTACCACAACTAACAACAAAATACTCCTCCCTCCCGGTACAAACACCTGTCCCCCCTTCACACAGCCAGCTCTTTGGGCTACAGGTGAAAGGAAAACGGAATGCAAACAAAAACTCAGAAGCTTGGATTTCATCTTAGTGGCAAGTGACCTGCTTATGCCATGGATCATCAAATGGACTCTCTTCTGCTTTTGGAGGACCGGAAGCGTTGGTGAGAAAGGCACACCCAAGCTCTCCGAGCAGCAAAAGCTCTCATCCTTTTCACCAGAAGAACAAGATGAGCCAGAAAGAATAATTCTCAATTAAAGTGGTGGCAGAAACCACACAGTTTGCCTTGGGAAGAAATCTCCAGATATTTATTCATTTTATAAGAAGCTTCTTTCAAAAGTCTGGAAATGCAACATACCAGTTGGCGAAATACTGCAACCAAGAAGCAAGCAGACCATGCAGTTGTACCCTACCAGTTTTTCAGAGCATCATAGCTTGCAGTATCGAAGATCTTAAAGGTCTTCTGTAGCTCAGTCTGCTCCTACGCTCTGTTACTTAGAAGAGAGGACAATAATTAGAAAGGAGTTGGTCTGTCTGCATACTGAGAAGCACTGTACTCAGGACACTTTCTGATCTACAGTGAATCAGCTCGGAATTATATTAATTGTATATGGAACGACCTTTCTCAGTCTGGTTTGTTTGCAAAGTTTGTTCTCCGAGCTCGAGGGTTATGCATGAGCCATAGGAGAACCCCAGTAGTGCGGCTGCCTCTGTTGGGTATTCGGTATTTAAGGTAACTCCGGTCATAAGGCTTGCTCAGGCCTTTCCGCTACTGCTCTTGTCTTTCTTTAAATCTCACCAAGCGTTCTCTGTTAGGCAGATACCCAAGGTAAAAAAAAAAAACAACAAAATTGTTCCTGGACTTTTCCCTCTTTATATGGCAGTGAAAATGATTCATCTCTTTGAGAAAGATAAACAAACAAACAAACAAAAAGTTCTTTTTGGACTATAGTAAAAAAAAATAAATAGATGACAAGCATTGAGTTGTAGCGAAGTGCTCAAGTGCCATCTTGTTTTTAAAGCAAAACTTTATTTCAGGTACCCAGAGGTGTTTGGATTAGACATAGCCTTTTCTCAGCATATACCCACCATCTGAATTACGCCAGTATTTAAACCTTTGAGTAGTTACATATAATTTGTGTCGACTTAGTTCCCAAAATGCTACATAAAAAAAGAGGTGTACATGCACCATTCCCTGAGAGCTGGAAACTGTTCCCTTTCAGTAGCCACGTGCAGCTGCAGAAGGGATGCCTTCTGCATGAACCAGGTGGGAGGAAGAAGTAGAAGTGACTGGGATGGAGAGTGGGAAACATGAAAAAAAGGAGCAGGATCCAGAGAGTAACTGGTTAGTAACTGCCGTTACCG